CAGTTGTAACGAAAAAACTAAACTACCCCCTAATTTTATTTATTTTATTCAAAAAAATCCAAATATATTGTAGTGTGGATAAAAACATATTTTATGAATTTGTTTTTAAGATATAAAGTAAAAAAATATATAAAAATATTTACGCTATTATGTTGAAATTATTACGTGTGTTGTTTATTAATCACTTTGGTAGATAAATTAATCTATATAACAGGTTTTTCTTACGTTTAAGTCTTATTAAATGTTTTGAAACATTATAAGTAAGTTATAAAATTATATTAATAAGGTGATGTAGCTTAAGGTTTAGGAATACGCCTTTTGAGCTATAGCGTCATGCTACAGTAGCTTAATAAAATAAGAATTGTTTACGAATACATACGAGTATATGAGGGCGCTAGAGGCAGAGTAGCCTAGCTGGAGTTTTTATGTATATTTTCATAATCTAAAAATGTTACTGTACAAGAAAAAGCATAGTGACGAAAATTGTTAATTTTTTGCGCATTTTTATTTTTCTTCTTATTGAAAATTTGTTTTGCTTATTAGGCCACTCTGCCTCTAGCAGATTCATATTTATGTATTGTTCTAGAGGTTTTATCATTCCGAACAATTACTTATAAGCTCTGCACGTGACAAATTAATTTCAGTCGAAATGGTGAAACTCTACATCTAAATTCTTTCCAATCTCCTCAATCCATTAGCTGGAGCGAGTAGAGTTCATTACAGTGCATTTTTCACCGAATTCTTTCATTTATTACGGGAGAGCGTCTGTGAATTAGATTAATCTAGCTAATTTTGGATATTGCAACTACGTTCAAGGAATTACAAATATCTGTTTAATATTAATGAAAAGATGCCTTTAAGTGAAGGGATAATTAAAACAAAGGTAAAATTAAAAAACATATGTTTTGGACCAAAATTTGTGGCCTCTTTTGAATTATTTGACACGGGCGGGCCTCAAACCCACGACTACATAAATAAGTGCTATTGCTAAATGAAGAAGCTATTTTGTTAAGAGAAAGGACATACGATTTCAACTCAAGACAGGCTTTTGATTTGGTCATGGGTTTGAGTTCATTGTTGTGCCTTTTCTTTGATTTTAAAATAATCATTAATTTCCAGCGTTTATTTGTATATAAAATATTAAAATATCTTAACTTCATACTGCCCCTTTTTTCGTATAGTCTACTCAACGTAGTTTTTATAGATAAGTAATTTTAAAAGTGACTGGCTTTACTTTGAATTTGCTTCTCTATTACTTCTATTTTAGTACAAAATAATAGTTCTGACCCTCGCCAAAGTTCATCGTCGATATTGGATATCGGAGCGGATCTATCAATAGTTGGGAGCATTTGTTAGCTTGATGCCTCTTATTCGGAGATGCCCTTTTGATTGACGAATTACTTGAAGCTGGGGCTAATAAATTCGTGTTAGTATGATTTATGAAGTCAACTTTTATTTTATACAAATCATTTTTATTGTAAACTGGCTAATCCTGCAAACGTTGTTTTTGTTTGCAATATTAATATTGTTATTTTGATTACAAGTCCAACAAATAATTGGTTTAACGCAATTATTTCGACATTTGATTACCATGCCTTCATTGATATATGGTTTATCCAACACAAAAATATTTTTTCAAATCGAACTAGTAGTTCCTAAGATAAGCGCGTTTAAACAAACAAACTCTTCAGCTTACAAAGAATAAATATTACTATGCTATCTATAAATGTTTTGGTATAAAACGGTTTTAAAGACGAAACTGCATCACTACTTCAGAAATTTGGATTGTAATTTAAAAATATATTATTCATTCTTTTCGCATTTTAAACGGTTGTTTTTAACGGTGTCATTTAAAGTGTACAAAAACGTACAGACGAAACTTATGCGTATTTTGTACTTGTACTTTTGACACACGTTATCACGTGACGCTAATAATGAAGAGTGTTTGTCACCGTTGGAGAATGGTGAGATCACTGTTCCTCCTGTATGGGGTCCAGGGTTCCACGTCAGGTCTATCAAAATTATTTATTCATGTTTGTACCTGTCCGTCCCTATATAATTTTTTGTTGATCATATACACTTGATTTTTGCTTTGAATTAATAATTATTTTAGTCAGGATGATTCCCTATTATTTCGTTCTAATATCTAACAGAACTTACCTTTGTGGCAATAACCGAATCGGAAGAGATAATATAAGTTATCTGGAGCTTTCTAAGTAACTGGGAGGCACGAAGTGGTCTCAAAAGCTAACTTTCACGCTTGGTCGGTCTCATTGACCGCTAGGGACAGACAGTGAAACGACGCGAGAGGGTTAATAACACTTGAAATCTAATTTAGATTCGATACATTCATAATCCATCGTTGATTTTCGCCTGGCTTACGATTGTCACAGTTTTTGTTACAGTTGCACCGGATCAGTTATAAAAGTATTATAAAGACAACTTTTAACAGTTCAAAATGTGACATATAAAATATTGTTAAAACATTTTTTTATTTATTTCAACTAGTCTTTCGGATGAACTACGATCACGGAGGGAGTCAGTTAACTGATTAATTTCGCTTTTAAACCCGTTAAAATTGTTTTATTTAAATTTTTACTACAGACACTATATGTATACTGTGAAACCCAGTAATGATAATATTGCCCAATAATGATAGTAATACCGTTCTAGACAGAAAGAAAAGTTTGTCCACGTGATTCGAACCCAGGAACGCACTTGTTTTCGCAATGTTAGGAAAAGCGTTTAACCAATAGCTCAACTTTCAAGCGTTAGTAAAATATTGGCAATCTTTAGATAAATATAATTTGATATTCTCTAAGCGAAATTTTGAGATTCTTAAAGCATGCATAAAAGCAGTTGGAGGTTTGTTCGTTAATGTTTGAACTTCAATGGCATTTCGCTACAATATGCATTGAAATTTTCAAATATTATCATGAAACGGTATTAAAATTTTATTGTTCTTTTATATGTGAATGTGGAAAACTTAGCTGTCTTTACTGTTTCTATTGACTTTGAATCGAGAAGTTAAAACTCTAAAATACGTAGTTGAAATCATGAGCTTACTGGATTATTTCTAAGCAGAATTAGTTATTTTCTTAGATATGCTTATATATTAATCGCGATTTTAAAATGTGTTATTTATTATGAATAACAACTTTGCTTTGTACAACATCGTAAGTTCAATATTACGGGAATGGTATCTTGTATTATATAATTGGTCGAAAGATGACATCATAAGAGATGAGAAGTACTCGCGTATAGACTCATGAGCATCATGATCAACATGTTGGACTCATAAGCATCGAACCAAGAATTCGTTGATTATGATCCATAAATGTTACCAGAATCAATATTGCACTTGAAAAGAAAACAAATACACATATAACAATAGTTGTCTTAAAAGTTTTCCTTAAGGGTTTTCCATTAATCACATGATCTTTTTTTAGCATTTTTTAACCCCTCTCCCCCATTGGTGATACGTAGTGAGGTTTAAGACCCCTCCCCTTTCTAAACATCACGTGTATTTTTAGTACATACAAAGAATCTTAAAATTTTCTGAATATTATCTTAATTTAAATACAGGTATAAACTATAATCTTATTTTATCCTGAAATTAAGAACCATGATAAAAATGTCTACACCATATTTAAAAATCGTGCGTTTGACGAAAAAATAAATACACGAGATATCTTACTACCCCCTTGTGTTATTTTCGTGATTTTTATCAAACCCCTCCCCCCCTTTCAAGCCTCACGTGATTAATGGACAACCCCTTACTTTGCAATGTAGTCTGTATGTTTCTGACACGTAAGACTACATCAATTATCTATATTACTTTCTATATTTCAACAACAACTGTGCTTAAAAGTGTAAAATGAACCGCATTGTGCTGCAATTATGTTTTGTGGTCTAACTCTGAGTGCAGCGTTTTATAGTTTTGCTCCTCGGAGTTGTAATAAAGTAGCGGGCTTTAACTCTCGAGGATATTAATTCATCTTAGAAATGAGTTTGCGTTATGCCCTTTTACTTATTAACTATGCATTACCCTAGGGTAATTTTAGCATTATAGGGTTTGTTGTGACGTTAAAAATATAATCAGCCTGAAGTTATACCAACACTAGCTAACGTTGTTTTCTTATAAGATTAATGTTATTATGTTGATACAACTCTAAAGAAATAATGGGTAAGAATACATTTTGACTAATTTTTTAGTTTACCATTCTTGTGAGGCGCGGACATTTTTTTTAATTTAAAGGCGAATCACTATTTTATACCAATGTTTTGGTTACTCACCGTTTTTACAGCGTAGGCAAAGGAAGCCCACAAAAACAAAAATGTTCCCCTTTTTTTTCATATTTTCCACTATATCTTCTCTCTTATTAGTCGCAGCGTGATATTTTATATATAAATCACTTGTTCATAAGTTTGATTCGTTAAGAAACTCTTCATTTTTTAACTTTCTGAAGTATACATTTACCACTCTTCTTCTCACCAAACTGCGTAAGAGACTTAGTTTTAGTGTACTGCCGATTTACCCGGGGGGCATAAGTATTGTGATTCGTTGTTTAATGTTCTTTAAAAAAAGGAAAAAACGAGATATAGACAAAATTACACTTTATTAACACCGAATTGCACATATTACTCTCCATTGACATTTCACTATATCACTACATAACAGCTATAAAAATACATAAAACATCAAATAAATATTTCCAAGTCCTAACATCAATGGGCTCAATTTATTGATGTTATTACTTTTTTACTTAAACTCTAATATGACTGGACTATATCACTTTACATATACAGGCTGTCCCAGAAAATATTGTACAAAAGATTATAGATATTAGAAAGAGATGGCTATAAATATTTTGAACGACTACAACTTTACACTACTAAAATTGAAGCTGGGACAGATTCAAAGATATACATTGTATTATTATATAATTTACATTATAGTACAGTATTTCGATTTCTACATCAACTTACTTACTAGAAGCTTAAAGCTGGTTGCTACATTTCATTAAAAAACTATCTATATATATCTTTGCACGCTTAGTACCTGCAACAAAGAAAAATTGTTTAGTTAAGTATACAGTTAACGTAATAAGTGATTATTATGTAACAATTGCGTAATTAGACTCGCAAAACAAAAATAATGAAAAGAGCGGCTTTAATATTCTAGACAATAGAAAATATAGTAAAAAGAAATATATATATAAGAAATGGAATTACTACATATACCTAAATAGTGTATGTAAATATTTGTTGTAACTTATCGGCTTTAATTATGTTTATCTATTGCTAGTTTTTTCTCATTTGAAACGTTTATATGAAAAAAAAGATTAAAAACTTAGAACACCATTTATTACCCAGGCCGGATTTCAAAAACACGTGCCCAATCACGCGGTTAAACTATAAAATATCCCCGTATTTCGTCTTTATCTCATCTGCGTTGTATTATTTCAGTTTTTACGAGTGTGAGTCATGAATATTGAAATGTTAAGTGGTATCTATTTGGTTTGTATACTATATTTGTATAAACTCAATTGTAATATACAACTGTTGATTAATTTACGGGCATGTTTACATGGGAGTGAGTGGAAGATGTTTTATATATGGTATGTACTATAGTATTTTGGTCTAAAAAGGTGGACTTTCTACTTGATATTAACAGCTTCCTTCCCTGACCACGGCAGCTGCAAAGCCTCCGAAACGTTGGACGTTAAAAAAATTAAAATTAAGTTAACTGATATATTTTGCGTTTTAAACTATTTTTATTTAAAAAAACATTTTGTCGGAGAAACATTCTTTCCTTTCACTGTTTACGCTGAGATAAATAAATATATCCAAGGAGGTTGTAGACTACATGGATATGAAATATTTAATGTCACCATTTTTGAACGGTTTCGCAATAATAAATAAAAAAAGATTTTATTTGTAAAAAATGGCGGACTATTATTATTTCTGCCACACAGTATTGTGCTACCTACGTCTGTATCGTGACTACATCTAAGCCACAGATAGCATTCCCTATTAGCAAATCAATTTATCTAATCTATCCGTATTGTGTATCTGTATTTGATCAACGTATTTAGTCAATATTACATGACTGACATACGTTATGTGTATCCGTTTAATGTTTACTGTTTTACCGACAAGCAAAATTTCCGTCTTTTTTTTAGACTAAATCCAAGAATATTATTGGTCTTACTTGGCTTTGTACTCTCCGGATTAGAAAAACTTGTTCTTGGATATCTGTTATGTTGATTGTGAGTTAATTTTTAGTTTAAATAAAACACTTTAACGATTTAAAACGCGGTCACGGGGAGACCACGTGACCACGGCTGCAAAGCATCCGAAACATCGGGCCGAAGTTAAAAATCATTTTCTAATAAGTTTAACTAATATATATTTGCGATTTAAACCGTTAAAGTGTTTTATTTCAATGTGTACTACTCGCGTAAACTATAGACAGTTTTTAATTTTTAGCTTCAAAGTAGTCATTTAAATAAAATAGCTACTGTAATATTAAAACTCACTATGTGAAAACGAATATGTTATTAAATTAGGCACGACAATCATTTTCATTATTTATTTATACCTTATCTATTACTGAAAACTAAAAAGTACTGAATGTTTGGTATTACCTCTTTTATTCAAATTAAGATTTGAATTGACTTTAAACCCCATTGAGACAGTGTTTATAAAAGAAAATTTCAATTAAGATCTTCAAAGCTCAAAAGGCCGATTAATAAAATTCCTTTCGCTCTTTGTACACTTATCAATTTCCCATTTGAGAGGTTGGTTAAATGATATTCGATACTGTTTACAGTGTTCTTAAAGCTTTGCACTTAAACTTAATTACGTTTTTTATTAAAGGGGTAGATACGTACGTAGACATGATGATCTGACGGACTCGTTGGTGTAATGCTAGCAATATAAAGAAAATCAACAGGTCGTGGGTTCCCCACCGAGTACATCATTTTTCTAACTAATTTATAATTTGAATGAAATGAATGATAATATAATCGCCGAACCGAACGAACCAATCCATGAAGTTTAATCGCGTTTCACTTTCAGTCTCGGAATTTCCGAATATCCGAAGCCAAAATAGGTTGACAGGGCATCTTGTTGAGATGTTGTATGGCTGGAGTATTTCACCTACCATATAACATCTCAAGTGAATGCCATGGTCGTCTGTCCTCTGTCATAAAAATCATAATGCAGTAGATGCAAGGCAAGCGGACTCGCTTTGAAGACTGGACTGGACTGGACGTGTCAGATCTCAAAAGTCCAATTGAGAAAACCATTAAATTTAAATCATAATATGAGCGTTTATTTCTTGCTGAAATGCTTGTATTTAATTTCTTTTAAAACATAGACCGCAAAGGAAAAACCAATTTAATGGTTTCGATGTTGGAGAGGCTCTACGTAGATGTAGAACAGCGCAAACGAAGCCCGAGGCTTGATAAAAGTAAAACTAAAATAAATATTTCCGAAGCGATCGCTCCCTGTCAGACGCACACAGCAAATAAACTTCGATACCTACACGTGTATCTGAATCTGACGCCGATGAAATATTGCAATTTTTATCTAAAGAATGACATACGACGCTAATGCCATCTGGTGGGTGAAAAATAAACTATCATTATGAAACCTTCGTTTTATTGTCCCCTGTTAGCGTGTTGAATATTAAATAGTTATAGTTATTTTTTTTGTAGTAATGTCATTAGTATTTATGCGCTCAATCGAAACTATTAGGTTTTCTCGGTGCTCAAACCCAAGACTCGACCATTAACGCAATAACGCAAAATGTATGTATATTTCCAGGAATTACTATTTGTCTTATTAAATCTTAGAAAATGTTAATTCATTTATTTGATTGGACGACTAGTCAAAAAAATATATTTGCATTTAATTCTACATTTAAAAATGTATTTGTCATAGATAACTTCACATTACAGACATGTCAAATATATTTACGGTACAATAAAACTTCGTCTAATAGATGGTAAGGACAGTCAACCGAGATAAAACATTGATAATAGAGATATAACTCGACATTATACACGAATCAAAACAATGTGAGCAAAACCATCAGATAAAGATGTCGGCGATAAATATCGGTCTAGCGGAATATCAGAATTATTTTATTCTTTCCGAATAGACAAACTATTGTAGAGGAATTATTATGTGTTAGATAGATCTTTTATACGATGTCGTAGAATCTATTACTGTACAATAAAGTATCTATAAACTTTATACTTTCATTCATTAAATCTGCTTCATTACTTAAAAAAAATCACTAACGATTTAAAAACCATTATATATTAGTTAAACTTATTTGGAAATTATTTTAACTACAGCCGCGTGTCCCCGTGACCACGGCTGCTGTAAAGCATAATTTTCAAATAAATTAACAGATATGTATCGTATTTTAAGGCGTTAATGTGTTTTATTTTTTATTTACAGACAATTTTATTATTGTATTACTCTTAATCCATAGTTCAGTACTTTTACAACTGCATACTACCAGAGGTCTCAGAGGTGAGAACCTCTTCTCGCTCACTTTGACCGAATAGCCCGAAAGACAATGATATGCTGAACGATGGCCGTGAAAGCCTTACACAATTTGCTTACTACCAATTTAGAACAAACACTTCTTTACAATTTTTTCTTTATAATTTGAGCTTTGCATTTAATTCTTTCGGGTTGCATTTGTTAGTTGGAAATCATTAAAATATCATGTCAATGAAAATTTTGCAGTCTATATAAACTATACATTATATATGTATAGTAGAAAGTATTAAAATTTGACTTGTACAAATATTACCAAAAAGTAATCCAATATCAAAATGAAAAAGATGAAACATACGGTCGTATACTTTTATCGTTTCAACAATTTGATTTATATCGAAATAAAATACAGAGAAATACGTTTTTAATAACGACCTCTAAACTATGATTTATAGTAGATTTTTATTATAAACCAATACCACTGTATGGATTCCACGTTATTGTGTATAGTTTATTATCAAAGCGATCGAAATAAACACATAAACTTACTCATCGCGTAAACATTTCGAGTGTCTGTAGGTGTATAGTGAAAAAATAATAGCTACAAAGATATAAGAAACATCACTCGATTTCTTAATCCAATGGTTGTAAAATAGTGCATTCAAATCTGTTTTAATTGCAAGTAATCTTTTAATAATAATTACATTATTAATTTTAAGTATTTAGAATATCTGTTCTTCTACTACAACTGAGTACAAAATTATTTTAGAGTGTTTTTTGTTAAGCTTACTTTTAAAATAGTTAAAAAAAAGTAAAATTAACGTAAAAAGTTATATATGAATAATATAATGTATCATGCTAATATAATTAATAATATTAGCATGATACATTATTACATGTACTCTTTCTTGTGTTATCTACTCGTTCTTCTGCATGTTAATTGTAATTATTGTACAAAATACTATGTGTTTAGTAGTTAAAAGTTTGTATATGAGTTTGTCGTTTAAAAGTAGAATCATCATTAAAGAAACCGTGTTCGACACAAAAAAAATAAGTTTTCTATCTAGCCGTTACTACAAAGATTAAAAAGAAATTTCAGTGTAAGAAACTTACCGATATTTACAGCGCAGATACGATAGGCTCCTTATCAGACGAAACAATAGTTTTATCTACAAACATGTACATCTTAACGCAGTCTTCATTCGGACTAGGGTTGTCCTCCGGTTTCTCATCTGGACTGACATTGTCCACTTCGTCTTCGTAAACTTTAATCTTATCGTTTAATTCTATCTTATATCTAACTGAAGGCATCTTATTTATAGTTGACGTCAGCAACGACTCTTGCACTGTCTCGTTTCCATTACAAGTCTTCTCCGATCTATACATTCCCGTCCTCTCTGATTGATTAAAATTCCTCTTCGACTTTGTGACTAACGCGCCGAGACACGGCAGTATCTGCTTGAACTCTTTACGGAAATTCTCGTTCAGCCAAGCGTATAAGAACGGGTTATAACAAGTCGACGACATCGCAATAAAATGCGCCACAAAGAACAGTACCATGTAATACCTCCAGTCTTCGGCGAAGGAGTAAAAATCGCTACTTATGTTAATTAAATTCAAGGGAAGCCACGACAGCCCGAAGATAGCCACCATCGCTATCAACATTCGGTTAGTCCGTCTCTTTCTCTCTCTCTCGGCGTCTTCTTTTTTACTATTCTTGCTTCCAGGTCTGGTTTTCAATCTATCATTCAGTTTTATACTAACACAGGTGTAGCAGAACGCCATAACTATAAATGGTAACACGAATTGCATGATAGTTGTTACCGCTCCGAATGCTTTACGTATCTGATCAGATGGCCATTTCTCTTCGCAGAAGATATCTTGAAGGGTCATGTAGTAACCGTAAGGAAAGGTCACAGATAGAGCAAAAACCCAGATGAATATTATGAGTCCGATGCAAGTAGTGATTTTCATTCGGGGTTTGAAGGGGTAAATGATTACAAAGAATCTATCGATCGCTATGGAAGTTAGGGTGAGCGTGGAGATGTAAACGCTACAACCCTGAGCGTATGGCATGATGTGGCAGAGTGGACCTCCAAAGACCCATCTGCCTAGAAACGTATAGAGAGGGGTAAAAGGAACGGCAAAAACACATAGAAGTATATCAGACAGTGCCAGATTCGTGATAAATAGATTGGTGACGGTCTGCATAGCACGATTCCTGATAACAGCGTAGCAAACTAAGGCATTGCCGAAGATTCCGACCGTGAAAATGATAGTGTAGGCCGTACAAAAAGCTGCCTGAATGGCTTTGTCCTCAATCGGGTCGGGCAACGTAATGTTCTCATTTTGGAAACTGTCGCTGTAATTGTTCAAGCTGAGGTTGTACAGGAGCTCGTTAGCACTCCATTCGGTCTGCATAATTTATCGATTTCTTAACTTGGCATCAGAAGCCTCGTGAAGTAGATACTGGCATATTTGGTGAAGCGACTGAGGTAATTCTTTCGATGTGAATGAACTGAATGTTCGATGTTCATGCTGTTTCGGGTTTTGTGTTTCAACTGCTGTATGCTGATGGGCGTTTCTTCATAATTTGTTGAGTATGACTTAATATAGCGTACCTGGAACAAACGGAACAATATTGAATATCTTAGTATAAATAGAAATTGTCAATCTTAAAAGTGTATGAAGCATAGGATCACTTAAAAAGCAGACTAAAGGTACTTCTAGGTAATGAGTATTGACTAACTTATTATGTTTAGTTTCTGTACGTATTTTAAATCAAATTTATGGAAGAAGAAATAAAACAAAAAAATTGCGATGAGAATGTATAAACATAATATATTTATTTATTTATTATTTATTTATTAACTTTATTAATTACAAACACCACAGAAATGAAATATACATAAATACAATGTATCCAACAACATATTATAGCTAGAAACGACGAGCTGCAAAGGTTTTGTTTATAGTTTTTATACCTAAACTACCTCTGTAGGTATTTGCTTCTAATCCTACGGAAACCTTTTCTACCTCCCAGCTTCTATCTATATAATGAATTGTATTCGAGACTTAGCATACAACAATAAATCACGTTCTTACATTTGAGATAGAAATTCAAATAGACATGTTGGATGTTCAAAAAGGTCATGAGCACACCGTGACCTTTTTGGATAATGTATACCTTACATTTAAGGTCCGGATACACCCGATTTCCGGATAATGTGCCATTTACACAAATGTACGCTTCGTCGGTACATTTGAATTGAATTAAGATACTCTAAGGTAAATTTATACTAATAATTTAATTGTATTGTCTCGTAGGTAACGTAATAGTGATCATTAATATTGTATTAGGGTAATTGTATAGGGATGTTAATACTACTGAACACTGTATTACGACTTGTCGATAAATACGGTTACCTAATTACTGATAGTTCTAGTTTAATGGTCAGAGGGGCTGCTTTTATTAACCTCTTAACTGTTCGAGGCGAAGATACTTAATCTACTTTCAGTAATCAATCAATTGCTAATAGTAGTGCCTAAAAAACTTAATTAATATAATCATAATATTAACTTTGAAAACTTTATTTTTTTTACATGTTATTGCACATGATGGAACTGTATGATTTAAATATCGCATATAAATTGAAATTACAGTGCGAGAGGTGCAAATGTTGAAGAAATCGACGATGACGTGTAGGGCTGGGTAGCTCAATTGGTGAGAGCAAGAGACGCTGAGGATGACGGTTTAAGTCCTGCCAAGTCGTAGATTTTTTGAATTTATTTTCGATTTTTAATTAGTATTAACCTTTCGGAAATGTAAAGCTCCTGAGATCTTTTTTCTGAGAAATAATGATGAGAAATGGCAAGTGTTGTTTTATTGTTATATGGTATATTGAATATGCTAATTTAGCAAATAATTTTCTTGAAATACCTTTAACAGAATAAAAAAGAAGCTCGTTGTTAAAAAACAATTCAATGTATTTACAAGCCCCAGCCAACATTAACAAACAATACAGCAAAGATTCATCCATCACAGTTCAACATAAAACAGCTGTGATTGACCACAAGTATAGAGTATAGAAGAGATAAGTAATAAGGCTTAATCGACTCTATAAATCCTGTTCCCTACGCACCATTTACTTTCTTATAGATAGTCCGATTGTAATCTTAGCTCACACATGTCTAGGTTAGTAGTTTACTAAGCATTTAATCTTAGGGCTGAATTTCGAACAATTCTAAAATAACCTCGTTAGTTACATTATACGACCTATAACCAACGGGTTAGGGGTTCTACGGGGGCGAGCTTTATTTAAATAAAAATCTTAAATATATTTTACCCAGTCTAGCAAATCGTGGAAATATCGAAAATCCGAATTCGAATTTCAGATCTTTGATTGTCCAAAATTTGTATGGGTCAAAGGAGAATCTGATTTAGACTTTATAAGCTGCTTTGGCTTTTCGTTAACTTAACAATTGCCTGTCCTACTTTGTTATAAAATAATACTATGAATGTAATTTTTTTTAAGTGCTTATGTAATAATTTAAGTTTTAATGAATAGGATTTTTTTATAAAAGCTACTACATTGTATGACTAACAGTATATGTAAACGGAAATAAAAAATGTGAAAGAATAATATTTTCGAGCGTCGCCGGGAAATTAACTTATACAATTTAAATTACAATATTATTTATTGTAATTGCATATTAGCAAAAGAAATAATGTATGAGGGTGGATGTAAAAGGTGGATGGCAAAAGTAACAAAATTCTTGAGCCGTCAAAATTAATATGGTGTCCTTTAATTTAAATAATATTAAAGCACGCCTTATTTTTAATATACAGCAAGTTACTTTGAAGAAAGTTCGCAAGTAATTTGTTAGGGTCAAACGTATAAATTAGCCCCAAGCCCCGGCAAACATGGCCCTTTCATATACCGTCTAATAGTCTCACAATATTGGACATAAAGGACTAGTATTTACTGTGAAAATATAGTGCTGTGTTCCGTTTTGTATTATTTAACAGATAACTATTGTTTGTAACTTTGGCTTGACTGTAAATTTCCATTTGAAAAGGCTTACTATATGAATGACTGCCAGTTATCTACATCTTATACTAGCTAATTTATACAATAAAATAAAATCACTTTTTAGTAATTTTAAAATAAAATATACATTTAGTATATTTTTGCTAAAACTTAAATGGCTATTATTTACTTCAAGTATTTCACAAAAGGTCAATTTGTGTAGTCTGTGTTATGAATTTAAGTTTTCAAACAAAATATACCAAATAATTTGAACATCGACAGACTGCGTCAAATTATTTCCGCGCGCTAATAGTATCTGTGGTAGCCGATAATTTGATCTAGAGTCTGGAACGATTTGAATTAATCACTTGATGGAGTTTTAATTATACGTCGGGAATAGGTTTGTCCTAGTTTTTGGTTTTGTATATAACGAAAATTATATATTATTTAGTCACGTTTTAGAGCTGGTATTATATGGAGTTAATAAAAACAAAGTATTAGAAATATTTCAGACTGCAGTTTGAATGTTCAAAAAATAAAGGATTACGAATTCAGTCTAATCTATTCAAGATGTTCTTATTTAAAATAAAAAAAGAACGGGTTTACCTGCCAGTATCTAAGTAGCACAAACTATAACAAGTTATTATCTGTAGTCGTAACTAGATCATGGTAATGTAATGTGATTTGTTGTCTGTATTAGAAAAGTTCTGGTTGTAATCGAGGCATACATCGGTAGGGTATTCCTTTTATTAGATTACGAAACAGATGGTTTGGTACATACATATCTTATTAGAGTTAGTTTAGTTTTTCCTCAGCCCAAGCAAGGTTGGTTTGTTAATTTGATTGTGTTCTTATACTACAATTTTCATGACAAAATAAACTTTTTAAGAACATAAGGAGGTAAACTGTGTGATTTTTTATAGGAATTATTGTGATTTAGTTGATGGATAAAAAAAAACAATGTTTTTTTTTTATTTAGAAAACTAAGCAAACTTATTAATGTCCATGACAAGTAATTAAATACAGAAGACTTAAAATTTAGACTAACTATCGATTTTCTAATTAAGGGCGTAGAATGAATAAATAGAAGTGTCAAGAAACTCGCCACCATTCTTTATCGCAAGTGCAATTTTACAAGACTTTATTCTCCAAAGCACTATGCTCTTCTGCTTAGTACATATTTATATTAATATAATACGTTACAAATATAATATTAACTTAATTTTATTTTTAACGGGCTTCCTAAAACATAAGTAACAACTATAGCATTACGTGCTGATGTTTCATTGACAAGCCTACACGAAATGCTGTATTCTTGGGTTCGATTCTATAAATCATAATATATGTATATAATAAATCATTGCCAACATATATAAACTATCATGTTTCAAATAATATATACAGAATAACGTTTCAAGCATTAACATGTATCTTATAATTCCCGTACGTTATCACATTGTATATTATTAAGCGAATGTAGATAGCAGTTTATTGCATTCAGGCAGGCCGCGACACTTAAAGGTTTAAATGTATTAACAGCACTGTACACAAAAACGTTTTCGGCGATAAGATATCGCGAACAAATATTTCGTTCGATTCAATGCGGAATCCCTTTTGGAAACAATGGCGGAAATACTATAGATACGATGATTTACAAACCCTATTATTGTTGGAACATCATAATCAAAGTATTGTTTACTAATAGACTGCGTAATTATAAGAGGGATTTCATTATTAAAGCAATATTATTCATAATTTTAAAGCACTTCAATTTAATAAAGGCTTGGATATCAAAATATTTATTAAATCATTCAAAATGTGTATTACTTTGTGCTAAGTATTTCTGATGATGCTTTGCAGCAGCCGTGGTCACTGGGACATTTAAACTCGAAACATCGGGCAGTAGTGAAAATAATTTCCGAATAAGTTTAATTATACCGCATTTGAAACAAGAACATATCATAACAATCAATTGATCTAAAACTTTTTAAAGGCAAAACAATAAATAGGCAGGACAAAGAAGTAGTTTTTAGATAGAATCCATGAGTAAGGACGCAGAAAATTTTTCGCCACAAGTCCAACAAATCTTTGAAATAAATACAGCAAAGTTCAAAGCAATGTTTCAAAGCGATAGGATCTAATGTGTGTGTGTGTGTGTGTTAGGACTGTGGTCCTAATTATTAGGTAGTCGAAATACTGAACTAGACGAGTCTGATAAACAAACGTGCAAGTACGGTGCAAACAGTATTTCTCGTCAGCAAACATTGGCTTCGGCAGCACCAAAACGCAAAATCAGTATAATTACCCAAGCCGCAGTTTCCCTCTGATATTTGCCCATAATTGTGATTCGGAGGAAAATACGATGCGCTTTTCTCGGTATCTAGGTATGGGCATGATTCCAGTGTCTACCGATTACTAACTCCATAGCATGGTATAGTCTTATTACAATGCATAAAGTATACTAGCCTTTTAGTAGCATAAAAAGCCGTTTAGATGTTAATGTTATTCTTGTTTTAGTTTTAAATATATGAATCGCGTCCTACTCTAATAATAGACCAGTATGATTATATAACAGAAATTCTACTCAACCT